TAGTGTAGTTTGAAATCAGGGAATATGCTACCTTTAGCTTTGTTCTTTTTTCTCACTGTTGCTTTGACTATTTGGGGTCTTTTGTGTTTCCATTTAAATTTTAGGATTTTTTTGTTCTATTTCTGTGAAAAATGCCATTGGGATTTTGATAGGGGTTGCACTGAATCTCTAGATTGCTTTAGGTAATATGGATATTTTAACAATGTTAATTCTTCCAATCCACCACCATGGAATATCTTTCTTTGTGTTGTCTTCAGTTGCTTTCAGTAATGTCTTATAGTTTTCAGTGTACAGGCCTTTCACTTCCTTGGTTAAATTTATTCCTAGGTATCTTATTCTTTTTGTTGCAATTGTAAATGCGATTTTTTCTTAATTTCTCTTTCTGATAATCTATTGTTAGTGTAGTGAAACACAACAAATTTTTGGATATTGATTTTGTACCCTACAATTTTACTGTATTTGTTAATTATTTCTAATAGTTTTTTGGTGGGACCTTTAGGGTTTTCTATATATAAAATCATATCTTCCGCAAATAGTGACAGCTTTACTTCTTTCTTTCTAATTTAGATGCCTTTTATTTCTTTTTCTTGCCTAATTTCTCTGGATAGAACTTCCAGTACTATGTTGATTAAACGTGGAGAGAGTGGGCATCCTTGTCTTGTTCCTGATCTTAGAGGAAAAGCTTTCAGTTTTTCCACTATGAGTATGATGTTAGCTGTGGGTTTGTCATTTATGGCCTTTATTATGTTGAGATACTTCCTTTTTAGACTCATTTTATTGAGTTTTTATCATAAATGGATGCTAATCTTGTCAAATGCTTTTTATGCATCTATTGAAATGAACATATGATTATTATCCTTTAATTTTTATTAATCCATATAATTTTTATCCACATTATTTGTTAATGTGGTGTATCATGTTGATTGATTTGTGGATGTTGAACCATCCTTGCATCCCTGGAATAAATCTCACTTGATCATGGTGTATGATCCTTTTAATGTATTGTTGTATTTGGTTTACTAATATTTTGTTGAGAATTTTTGCATCTATGTTCATCAGAGATATTGGCCTGTAATTTTCCTTTTTTGCTGTTGTCCTTGTCTGGTTTTGGTGTTAGGGTAATGTTGGCATCATAAAATGAGTTAGGAAGCATTCTCTCCTCTTTAATTTTTTAGAAGAGTTTGAGATGGATAGGAATTAAATTTTTGAATGTTTAGTAGAATTTACCCGTGAAGCCATCTGGTCCTGGACTTTTGCTTTTGGGGAGGTTTTTGATTACTGTTTCAATCTTCTTACTAGTGATCAGTCTATCCAGATTTTCTCTTTCTTCATGGTTCAGTCTTGGAAAGTTGTATGATTCTGAGAATGTATCCATTTCTTCTAGATTTTCTAATTTGTTGGTGTATAACTGTTGTAGTCTCTTATGATCCTTTGTATTTCTGTGGTATCCATTGTAACTTTTCTTTCACTTCTGATTTTATTTATTTGAGCCTTCTCTCTTTTTTCCATTGTGAGTCTAGCTAAAGGTTTGTCAGTTTTGTTTATTTTTCCAAAGGACCAGCTCTTAGTTTCATTGATCTTTTCTATTGTCTTTTTAGTCTCTGTTTCATTTATTTGCACTATGATTTTTATTATTTCCTTCCTTCTACTGATTTGGGGCTTCATCTGTTTATCTTTTTCTAGTTCCTTTACATGTATTGTTAGATTATTTATTTGAGAATTTTCTTGTTTCTTGAGGTAGGCCTGTATTGCTATAAATTTCCCTCTTAGTACTGCTTTTGCTTTATCCCATAAATTTTGGTATGTTGAATTTCTATTTTCATTTGTCTCCAGGTATTTTTTGATTTCTCCTCTTATTTCCTCACTGACCCAGTAGTTGCTCAGTAGCATGCTGTTTACTCTCCACATATTTGTGGTTTTCCTAGTTTTCTTCTTGTAGTTGATTTCTAGTTTTATACCATTGTGGTCAGAAAAGATGCTTGATATGATTTCAATCTTCTTAAATTTATTGAGACTTGTTTTGTGTCCCAAAATATGGTCTACCCTTGAGAATGTTCCATGTGCACTTGAGAAGAATGTATATTCTGCTGCATTTGGATGGAATGTTCTGTATATATCTATTAAGTCTATCTGGTCTAATGTGTCATTTAAGGCCAATGTTTCCTTGTTGACTTTCTGTCTCGACGATCTATCCATTGATGTAAGTGGAGTGTTAAAGTCCCCTACTATTATTGCATTGCTATCAATTTCTCCCTTTAGGTCTGTTAATAGTTGCTTTATGTATTTTGGTGCTCCTATGTTGGGTGCCTATACAGGCATACCTCATTCTATTGCGCTTCGCTTTATTGTGCTTTGCAGATAGTGCATTTTTTACAAGACCCTCCACCAGCAAAAAGATTGTGACTCATTGAAGGCTCAGATGACATGTAGCATTTTTTACCAATAAAGTATTTTTTAATTAAGGTATGTACCTTGTCTTTTTAGACATATGCTGTTGCACACTTAATAGACCACAGTATAGTGTAAACATAATTTTTATATGCACTGGGAAAACAAGAAATTTGTGTGACTTGCTTTATTGCAGTATTGGCTTTATTGTAGTGGACTGGAACCAAACCCTCAACATCTCCAAGGTGTGCCTGTATATTAATAAATGTTATGTCTTATTGATGGATTGTCGCCTTCATCATTATATAATGTCCGTCTTTGTCTCTTGTTACCTATTTTGGCTTGAAGTCTACCTTGTCTGATATAAGTACGGCTACCCCTAGTTTCTTTTGGCTATCACTTGCTTAGAGTATCACCTTCCCCACTTTCACTTTGAGCCTAGGTTTGTCTTTAGAGCTAAAATGAGTCTCCTGAAGGCAGCATAGTTGGGTCTTGTTTTTTAATCCATCCAGCCACTTTGTGCCTTTTGATTGGTGAATTCAATCCATTTACATTTAGGGTGATTATTGATATATGAAGACTTACTACTTCTGTTTTATCTTTTGTTTTGTTCCATATCTCCATTGTTTTTTTCCCTTGTGTTTCTATCTGCCATTTTAGTTTGGTGATTTTTATGATGTTTTTTGCAGTTACCTCTTTTTTTATGTTTTGTGTCTCTGCTCTAGATTTTTGTTTTGTGGTTACCATGAGGTTGTATACCACATCTCATAGATAAAATAGTCCCTTTTCTGATGATAACATCTTATCTTCATTTGCCTAAATAGGTTCCCTCGTTTTCCTCCTCCCTTTTTATGTTTTTGTTGTCACAAATTATCGCTTTTTATGTTGTGAGTTTATTACCATATTGAAGTAGCTTTAGTTATTTTTAATGCTTTTTTTCCCCTTTAACCTTTATGCTATAGTTGTTTAATACCCTATTCTGTAATAGCTTTGCAATTTTCTGGTTCTGTCTGTTTAGCACCTTACTCAAAGTTTTGTGTACTTTGCCTTTTCGTTTCTGGTAGAAGAAGTTCTTTCAACATTTCTTGTAGGTAGGTCTAGTGGTAGTGAACTCCCTCAGCTTTTGTTTGTCTAGGAAAGCCTTTATTTCTCCTACATCTCTGAAGACTAACTTTGCTGGATAGAGTATTCTTGGCTGGCAGTTTTTATCTTTCAATATTTTGAACATGTCATTTCACTCTCTCCTGGCCTGTAGAGTTTCTGTTTGTAGCCTAATCGGGGTTTCTTTCTGGTTACTGTCATTTTTTTCCCTGGCTGACTTTAAAATTCTTTCTTTGTCCTTGACTTTTGGCAGTTTTAATACACTGTCTCTTGGAGAAGGTCTTTTGCATTGAGATAATTAGGTGTTCTGTTAGCTTCATGTCCTTGTATATCCAGTTCCTTCTCCAGGTTTTGGAAGTTCTCAGTTGTTTTTTTTTTTCCCTGACGAAGATTCACCCTGAGCTAACTTCCGTTGCCAATGTCCCTCTTTTATTTTTGCTTGAGGAGGATTTGCCCTGAGCTAACATCCATGCCAATCTTCCTCTATTTTGTATATGGGTCACCGCCACAGTATGGCCACTGATGAGCGGTGTAGGTCTGCACCCAGGAACAAAACCTGGGCTGCCAAAGCAGAGCACATCAAACTTAACCACTAGGCCACAGGGCCAACCCTCTCAGCTATTATTTTATTTTATAATTTTATTTATTTTTCCCCCCCAAAGCCCCAGTAGATAGTTGCATGTCATAGCTGCACATCCTTCTAGTTGTTGTATGTGGGACGTGGCCTCAGCATGGCCAGAGAAGTGGTGCATTGGTGCGCACCCGGGATCCGAACCCGGGCCACCAGCAGTGGAGCGCGCGCACTTAACCGCTAAGCCATGGGGCTGGCCTCAGCTATTATTTTTTTAAATAAGCTCTCTGCTCCCTTCTCCTTTCTTCCTCTGGAATACCCATTAGCCTTATGTTGCTTTTACTAGTGGAGTCGGATATTTCTCATAGAATTTTTTCATTTTGTTTTTTATAACTTAGTTATTTTTCCTCTTTCACCTGAATTATTTCTAGATTTCTGTCTTTGAGCTCATGAATTCTCTCTTCCATATGGTCTGCTCTATTTCCAATGCTTTCTACTATATTCTTCATCTCATTTATTGAGTTCTTCAGCTCCAGAATTTCTGTTTAGTTCTTTTTTAGAGTTTCTATCTCTTTGGTAAAGTACTTCTTCTGTTTATTAATTTTATTCCTGAGCTCACTAAACTGTCTTTCTGTGTTTTCTTGTAGCTTGTCAGTTTCCTCATGACAGCTATTGTGAATTCTTTATCATTTAGATCACAGTCTTTCATGACTTCAAGTTTGGCTTGAGAAATTGTCATTTTCTTTTTGTGATACCATGTTATCATAATTTTTCCTGGTGCTTAATGAGTTGTTCCTCTGCCAGTGCATTTGTATGTAGCCAACACCTTTCTTATTTAGATAAGGCTTTGGTTACTTTGATTCTGAGCTGCTTCTGGTTGTATTTGAGAGGCAGCTCTTTCCACCCTCCACTGCCTCTGCCAGAGGTGTCATCAGTGACCTCATTGTGCTGCTTGTGCCTCCATGGTCGCTGGTGCCTTGCTGCTAACAATGTTCCTGCGGTCACAGATGTCACCACTGGGGTCACTGGGCTGGCGAGTGCCTCTGCTGTTTCTAGGGTCACCTGAGTCACAGATTTTGCCACCGTGGTGGGGGAAGGGGAGGGTACAGGGGGAGTCAGGGTCATGGGGCACCTCTGCCTCATCTGTGATTGTTGAGTCTGCAGGCGCCATCTCCACAGGTAAGGGGGCTGGGGTTGCGAGTGCTGCTGCGGCTGGGGGTGCCGGGGTTGCGGGCTCCATGGCCACTGATACCTGGTTCTCTGTGGCCTCAGGTTCCACTGTGGCCAGGGGGCCAGTGTCACATACACTGCCTCCACTGCTGCTCTTTGGTTTTCTGGGAGTACTGCCACCTCCTCTGCTGGGGGCACTGGGTTCAAGGGTGTTGCCACCACTGTCAGGCAGGCCAAGGTTGCAGGCACTGCCACTACTGTCGCTGGGGGAAGGTGATACTGGGGTCATGGGTGCCACCGTGGTTCCTGGAGCCTCCAGACACACCACCATGGTGCTGGAAGCCTCCGGTCTTGGACATAACCATGGTTCCTAGAACTTCAGGTCATGGATGCCACTACCACGGCCAGGGGCACTGGGATCTTGGATGCAGCCCCCACTGCCGGGAGGGCTAAGGTCACAGGCACCTCTGCCACTACCAGGGAAAGGGGAGGGGGCCGGGTCACAGGCACCACTGTGGTTCCTGGAGCCTTCAGTTGTGTGCGCCACAGCCATTGCTGGACCCTACATTAGTGGGCATCACTGTAGTTCCTGGAGCCTCTGATCGCAGGCGCCACTGCAGTTCCTAAAGACTCTGGTCTTTGAAGCCGCCACCATTGCTTCTCTAGTTCTGCTGCCTCCACAAGGTCCAGTCTACCCACCTTCAGATGTACAGATGTATGGATCTCTCAATAGATGTATGGATCATCTATTGAGCTGTGCAGAGGATCTTTTGTTGGTCTATGGATGTAACTACTGGTTGTGACTTAGAGGGGAGAGACAAAGGGAGTAAGTCACACCACCATGATGCTGACATCACTCCAGGCTATTTTAAATTTTTGAGGGAAACACAGTGACATCTTGCAGATACCATGCAAACTACCAGCTCAGAATAGTTCACAGTTTCAACATTAGAGCACACAACATTTTTTTGATGATGCTATAGCTTTGTAAAACTGGATTTTCAGCAATTTTATCAAAAGCAAGTATCAAGTGAAAAATCAGTTTGGAGCTAGAAATGAAGGTGATCTTATTTCAAGGTTTGAGAATTTGTGCAGTGCCCAAAAGATGCATACCCTCCATTAATAAATAATTATGGTAATTTTAGAATGACATAAAAGTATATTTCTTTCAATTCACATGTATTATTTTTTCAAACAGTTTTTATAAGATATTAGGACACAAATATTTTTTAAGTTGTTTGGACCTGCCTACTTAATAAACAGAATGGTTAGCTGTTTTGTTTGGTCTAGGGGTGCCATGAAGCAAGAAAGCTTGGGAACCTCTTCTCTATCACTCAGCCTAATTTAGAAGATCCATGCCAAATTTATATTTAATCTGGGGTCCTAATCTCAAAAAAATTTTTAGTCAGTTTTTAAATTTTAATTTATCAATAGCACGTGCTTGATAAATTTACGCTTGTCTTACCATTGAGCTTGATTTTTATGGTGTTGACACCATAAATTTTGAGTTAAGGAACCATAAAGGAGTGAAGGATCTGAATTAACTGGATTCAGATCTCAGTTGTTTCCAATATAAATTTGAGGCAGATAATAGGGGAAGAACATGAGATTTTTGATATCAGCAAAAGTTTGGTTTAAATTGCCGCCAGGCCACTTTCTCTTTCTGAGCCTCATCTGTAAAATAGGGACATGATTCCATTGTAGTGTCATTGAGAGATGAAAGAGATCATGTATATAAAGTAGTATGTCCTTGGAAAACATCATTTCTTCCCCTTTCATGATTACTTTAACCATTGAAATATTCATTTAGCCATTAAACAAATTTTATAAATAAAGTTAGGTGTTTTAAATTCTGATATTAACACATGACCACCCAAAAGAATTATATATGGAATAAAAAGATTCCTGCCTCAAGGGACTTAGAGTCTAATTCTAATAAATGCAGCAAAGGAAGAAAAATTCAAAGAAAATGGATTGCAGCTGTATTTGAGGAGATCAAATTAATGAATGGTGTGGAGCATATTTGGGTGGCCGATCTAAGATCAAGAAGGAGATTTTCCATGGCTAGAGATGAAAAGAACAAACGGATTAATAGGGAGGCCTAGAAGTCATGCCCTCCCACCCTACCTTGGGGATAAAAGGAAATGCACACACTATTATTCCTCATTAGATTTCTGTCAATTATTTTCCACCAGTTCTGTTTCCTAGAGTTCCACAGCCAAAATATCCCATCCGTGTAGAAGTTGAAGCAAAGGATTTCATTTGGTCTCGTATGGTTTTTCTAGTTTATGGGCATCTGAATACACTTATGAGTAGTGATGAGGCAAGTGCCCAGAAAAAAAAAAAATGGAAAAAAAAGACAAACCTTTAGATCAAGGTAAGGGAAAACTTAAGAGTTCAGAAAAACCTGAAGAACTAAGAACTTCCACTCTTGGGTTTACCTAATCTGCTTTTAATATGCCTAATTAATCATAATAACTATTGATGTTATCGCAGACTGTCTGATTCCAAGGTCCAAGATTTTAACTTCTGTTTTTACCCCCAATTTCCATAAACAAGAGTAAAACATATGGTGTTTAAACAGACTTAAAGATTTGCAAATAGATATAAAGCATGGTATTTACTTATGACTCTTTATACTTGGGCCCAACCTCTGTGAACTAAAGCATACCATCCATGTAATGTATACGTAAGTAATGAGTCTAATTATAAACTACAGTTTACTTTTAAATTGAGTGTTATCTCCCTCAAAGAGTCACTTTGGAATGACTGATGACACTCAATCCTGAAGGTAATTCCTGGTGCTATCTTGTGAATCTTTGCCCTTACAGGAGGAATTTGTGTGATATCTTTACCCTTGCAGGTGTAATTTGTTTTGAAATAACCAGAAGTAATTTAAACATATCTGGTGAGTGAAGCATAAGATTACACTAGGTATGTTGGTAGGGGTCCCTGGGAAAATTCTTTTGTGGGGCTTGGCCCTCTTAAGAAAATGCCTTGCAGCAAGACTTTCTTCCCTTAAACACTAGACTTTCCCCTGAACAGCAAGAGCAAGGAACAGTCCTGGACCAGATGGCTTCACAGGTGAATTCCACCAAACATTTAAAGAATAATTAATACCAATTCTTTTCAAATTCTTTTGAAAAATGGAAGAAGAAGGAACACTTCCTAACTCATTTTATGAGGCCAACATTACCCTGATATTAGAGCCAGATAAAGATGCCACAAGAAAAGAAAATTTCAAACCATTATCCCTTATGAATATAGATGCAAAAATACTCAACGAAGTACTAGCAAATTGACTTCAACAGCATATTAAAAGGATTATTCACCATGACCAAGTGGGATTTACCCCAGGAATGCAAGGGTGGTTCAACATAAAATATACCAATGTAATACATCATATTAATAGAACGAAGGGAAAAAAATGTGATCATCTCAATTGACACAGCAAAGGCATTTGACAAAATCAAACACACTTTCATGACAAAAACCTTTTAGAAAACTAGGAATAGAGGGGAAATTCCTTAACGTGATTTAAGGTATTTATGAAAAACCCACAGCTAGCCATACTCAGTGGTGAAAGGCTGACAGCTCTCCCCTTAAGACCAGGAACAAGACAAGGATGCCTGCCGTCACTGCTGCTATTCAACATTTTACTGGAAGTTCTAGTGAGAGCTATTAGCCAAGAAAAAGAAATAGAAGGTATCCAAATTGGAAGGGAAAAGGTAAAATTATATTTGCATTGACATGATCTTATATAGAGAGAATCCCAAAGAATCCACAAGAAATCTACTACAGCTAATAAACAAATTCAGCAAAGTTGTAGATTACAAGATCAAAACACAAAAATCAGTTGTGTTTCTATACACTAGCCATGAACAATCCGAAAAGAAATTCAGAAAGCAGTTTCATTTGCAATAGCATCTAAAAGAATTAAATACTGAGGAATAAATCTAACAAATGAGGTGAAAGATAGGTATGCTGAAAACTAAAAAATATTGCTGAAAGAAGTTTTAAAATATCTAAATAAATAGAAAGATACCCTATGTTCATGGATAAGAAGACTTAACATTGTTAAAATATCAAAACTACCCAAAGTGAGCTACAGAGTTAACACAATCCCTATCAAACAGCCTTACAGAAATGGAAAAGTCAACCCTCAAATTCGTCTGGAATTGCAAAGGGCCCCAAATAGCCAAAACAATCTTGAAAAAGAAGAATAAAGTTGAAAGACTCACAAACACTTCCCAACTTCAAAACTAACAATAAGGCAACAGTATTAAAACAATATGGCACTGGCATAAGAACAGACGTATAGACCAATAGAATAGAGTAGAGATCCCAGAAATAAATCCTCACATATATGGTCATTTGATTTTTTAAGGATACCAAAACTATTCAATAGAGAAAGGACAGTCTTTTCAACAAATAGTGTTGGGAAAACTGGATATCCACATACAAAAGAATGAAATTGGATGCTTACCTTGAACCATATATGAAAATTAACTCAAAGTAGGTAAACAACCTAAATGAACTTAAGAGGTAAAATTATAAAACTCTTAGAAGAAAACATTGGGGAAAATCTTCATGATATTGGATTTGGCAACAATTTCGTAGATGTGACGCCAAAAGTAGAGGCAACAAAAGAAAAATATAGATAAATGGGACTTCATCAAAATTAAGAACTTTTGTGCATTAAAGGACGCTATGAAGAAAGCAAAAAGACAATCTACAGAATGGGAGAAAATATTTGCAAATTGTATCTCTGACAAGAGATTAATATCTAGAATATATAAAGAACTTCTATAACTCAACAACCAAAAAGCAACCAACCCAATTTAAAAATGTATAAAGCACTTTAATAGACATCTCTCCAAAGAAGATACACACATGGCCAATAAGCACATGAAAAGATGTTCAACATCGTTAGTCATTAGGGAAATGCAAATCAAAATCGCAATGAAATATTACTTCAGACCCATTAGGATGGCTGCCATCAAAAAAAAAATAATAATGAGGGCCGGCCCTGTGGCTTGGTGGTTAAGTGCGCGCGCTGCAATGCTGGTGGCCCGGGTTCGGATCCCGGGTGCGCATCGAGGCACCACTTCTCCGTCCATCCTGAGGCCGAGTCCCACATACAGCAACTAGAAGGATGTGCAGCTATGACATACAACTATCTACTGGGGCTTTGGGGGGAAAAAATTAAATAAATAAAATCTTTAAAAAAAATAATAATAATGAAATAACAAATGGCAAGGATGTAGAGAAGTTGGAACGCTCATACATTGTTGATGGAAGTGTAAAATGGTGCAGCCACTGTGGAAAATA